ATCATTATATTAGGTAATACCTCGGGTAATACATATACATTAATAGGCAAATCATTAGCATTCTAAATAATATTATTATATATATTATTGAATTTAGTACTTTATAGTCACWATTATAAAAAAAAGTTATTAGATTATTATCACTTATTTATAAATTATAATCAAGTTTGCAATTAATAGTTTTCAGAACATCTTTGTTCTTCTAAGCTTTTCAAAAAATCTGCTTCGTCAATTAWATTAGGTTCACGAGCTGTCTTTGAATTATTATTGTTTTTTGCTCTATTATTGTTCCAATTATTGCTCCACAATTATACTAAAATACAACTTTTATTTGACCAATTGTTAATAGGTATTTGGTATCTACCAAAATTTTACCGGCTATTCTAATTGAAAATGCCTTTTGTTGATGTGTGAAAGCCTTATGATTAAATGATGTAGGTTAATGTGCTATTATTTTATTTGAAAACGTTCTAGTAACTTATATTATCCCCTCAGCAATTCTTTAGAATAAATTTTAAATAATAGGTAGTAATTTGAATACTTAGTTTATGCAGGCATATATACTCTATTACTCTCTATATTATAGAGAGTAATTTTATCATAAGCTACTTGTGTACAGGCTCCTACTTTTCTTAAAAATAAATTTTAAGTACCATTATTATATTATATAAAATGTACATATTATTACTCGTATTATTAGTTTTTAGTTCTGATTTTCCTAAGTTGTTTCATGAGATACTAAATTAAAATATTTTAGTATCTATTTTTAATGAATTAACGAAAAGTTTTTTAATTTTTGTTGATTATATTCCTGTCTTACGTCTTGATTGACAGAAGATTTTTGATGAATAGATGATAAAAATTGTTTCTGAGAATAACTGAATAGTAATAATTTCAATAAAGAAAAAAACTTAAGTTTTATCGTCTAAAAAACTTAATTTTTCAGTTATCATAGTTATCATAGTTCTCATACTTACATTCWYAATTAATTTTGAYATAATGAACTATTTTAAAATTTAAATATTTAATAWGAAGTTTGATTACTTTAATATGTAKGAGTTTAAGTTATGTGTATCTAACAYTACATAATATGTTATAAGTAGGTATATACTTTGGTAGTTATGTAATATGATTTAAAAGTTTATAGCTTAGTTTTATTGCAATAGATTTTATTCAATAATTTAATGTAGGTAGGTAATATAATTACAAAAAACCTCCCCAGATCTTCTTAAAAATTATATTTTATCTATGCTCCTGGTTAGAATTCTTGTACTTGCGATATTCATGGGCGTTATTTCAGTTTTTGACTTGGAGGAGCTTTAGTGCTTCACACTTTAAATGAAATATATTAGTGAGGGCCTTCATCTGCCCCCCCCCACACCCCCATTCAAATATCTTCTAAATAAATTATTTTATGTGATATACCTAATACAACATAGGTAATATATTTTTCATTGCTTTTCTCACCTAGGTACTTAACTATATTTTAATACATGTCACATTAACTTTAGAAAATAAATTCTTCAAACAACTTTTACTGAATTATGTTGATTGGGTWGCTACCTAACTGGAAGATGTAATASTATAATTAAAATCCAAATTTTTGGAGGTGCTTATTAGCCCTTTCAAGTCCCTCCATATTACGGTTATGGCTGTATCTATCAACTGAACTAAAAAAGTTTCTATGTAGATATTTAATATGAATACTTTTTCCATAGTAGGTATATTTTTTACTWTTTAAACTGGTAGTAATTTAGTTGGTATACACATTGATTCTATAATAGAAAATAGTATATTGTAATATCAATGGTATACACATTCTAGTGTACACATTTAAACCTTAATTTAACTCCAAATTTAGCTATAATTTTGTTATTATTGTAAATTTGTATTTTATTTTTCTTAGTGTATTGTGTATTTTAATTTTTTTATATAGTTATAAACATTTTTAAACTGAAAATTCCATTAAAGAATAATAATAGTCCCTACTTATTATATGTGCATTATGAAAGTGCCTATTGCTTTCTTTTTTGAACCTACTAGTAAATTTAAGTACTAATACTTCATTTCAACCTTAGAATTAGCAAACTGTAATATTACAATGTAAATAGTAACCTCAATTTTAAAATAGGTACATTAGTAGATTTAACATTATATATTTGTTTCATTGTTTGTATAAGTACCTATCTAAAATTTGATTTTAAAAGCATATGTAACTAGGAGTTGTAACAATTTAYAGATTACTAACTCATCATTTATGTCGCGCTTGCCGATTTAGCTTAGGTTAACAGAACACAGGAACGTAGAGTACGAGCATATATGTATATTATAAAATATAGCCAGACAGTCGTGTCCAAACACACATTGAAGCCTACCTTGTAAAAATCATTTAATAATTGTTCAGCTCGTGCTCCGCTATTCCTGTGATCTTCAATATACTACCCTCAAGAACAGGGTTACTCAGGTGATAGTGTACTATATACTATAGATATTGTTCAGTTATTTAATAAATCTTGTTTTGCGTTACTATATCGTGTTCCATTGTGTTAGTCTATGAACGCAGGTCATAAGTTCGTAGGACCTATAAAATATAACTTAGGAAACTTTATTTGTATCGAACCAACAACCCGGTTCTCAAGACCGGTTCGTGTAGTAGGAATAGCTAACCAACTACTCCTTAACTGGATAGGATTTGGTATATATATCGACAACCACTTAGTTTTGATAGACGAAGGATGTGTGTTGCAGAGTATAAATAAATGGGTTAATTTACATTTTGTCTATAATGATCATACCTACTTCTTACATTTTAAAATCAAAAATATAGTTGGGTTAAATATATTAATATATTTAAATATATTGTAACTGTAAAGTTGAGTTTGAATTTRGTAGATATTATATAACATACAGACTACAAATTACACACTAAAAACTGGGCCGTCCCAAACTACAATTAATTAAGGGGGAAGGTGTAGCATGTAGCTCCTCGTGTAGCTCCATCAATTTGCCAACTCAAAGTTTTTTTCACCGTGCTCGAAAATTATTACTAATTTATTATAAGATAAATCATATTAGTGCTTAGTATATATATATCTCGAGATATATCTTTAGTCAGCTGCTTATTTTTCATACTTTTAAGTTGTTTGTGCAAAGATAAAAATATTAACCATTATTATTAATTTATTATCATACTGAATATATCATATTAAAGTAAACGAAAAAAAAAGCTTTAACTCATGTACCTATAATTTGATTAAATAGGGATATAATGAAAATAAAATGTTGCTGTGATTCATGTCAGTATGTAATTATCTCGGTAATTWTGTTTATCAATTTGTATTGTCTATCCATATAATATTTTATAGTTTCTTAWATAATATTTTTTATTTACCTAGATGAAACTGTTTATATCTTATAGGTATGTGAATGTTTGGGCATCAACAAAGAATGTGATTACTTTGGATTACAGTACAAAACTGTCAAAGGGCAAGATGTTTGGTTGAATCTAAGAAATTTGATTGAACATCAAGTTGCTGGAGTTCATCCATATCGCTTTGCACTCAGAGTCAAATTTTGGGTACCACCACATTTACTATTACAAGAATCTACCCGGTAAGTTTTAAGATTTAAGAATAACTRCTATCTTATTATAGATAGTTAGATGTGCATAAACATCAGAAAATATCAATTATAATTTATAAGCATTAATATGCAGAATGATTCTTTTATCAAACACTCATTATTTAAAAATTATTGACTTTTTTCAAAATATTTTTTT